AAAAATGTCTGCGTCAAGCTCACTGCAACACACTGCTGTAAGAGTATAACCAGGAAGCGAGGTAGGAGGGCCAAATAGGTCTAGCGCCACTGCAGCACGGGAGGGAGAATTATGTCCAGGAGCAAATGGATAAAAATAGACCGGAGGAAAAAAAAAAAACATTAATCAATACTCTTGCGGACGTATGGATGCATCGGATCGTCGGCTGTTGGTTCGATGCATTGATACAAAACTATTATTTACAGTCCTATTCAGGACCCCAAAAATTTATAAAACCATCAATTTGTCACCTTATTAGAAAGCCTGGAAGTAGATGTCCAATAAACTGCTTCGTTTTAAACTTAAGGACACTTTGGCGGTGCAACTAGAAGTTAATTAAAGTAAATTAGGAAGTTTACCCTTGTGTGGCTAAAAAAAAAGACTAAATGGTTGTGGAGTGGTCAAAGTTTGGGTCTAATTGTGGGTGAGAAAAATGATTAGGACATTAAACAGGCCATTTATGATAGAAAAGTTGCTGTGGACCAAACAATTGTGATAAAAAATTTGGGTTGAGGACTTCAGATGGATCATGTCAAAGACATTTATTGCTATTTCAAACTCGATACAATCTTTTCTTTTTTTACACAGGACCATAGTTTGTTTTTGTTTTTTTTGTTTGTTTTTTATATATATTGTATTTTAATAAAGTAAATCCTTATTAAAAGCTGCATTTGGTAACTCGGGTCATCTTAAACTGATGATCAGTAATATTTTCCAAAAAAAAGTAAAAAACAAGCAATTTGCAAGCAGGGCAGACATATTCTAATCATTAATGATGATTATATCGTTTCCAGCCTCTCCTGCCTTACTTTTAACATTATTTTGAGGAAATACATAATATATAACTTTGACCTGATTCTTAGTGATGCAGAGCAAAATCTGCTATTCTTTCTCTAATAAATGCTCCTTTAGTGGTAGGACTGAAATAACTGTCCAAGCAGCTTTTTAGGTGACATATTTGCATGGAATGTAAACGGAAAATGCTCTAATTTACTTTAAGTTATCTCTTTTAGACTATTTTTAACAGTTTAGGTTGATCTCAGAAGCTAGTTTTCCTATTTTAATGCCTTCTGCTTAATTCTCTTCTAAAAGTCTAGATTTGTGCATTCACCCAACCTAAGCTGGGGATCTCTCCAGCTCATCCAGAGTTTTAATATAACACTGCTGTGTTATATCACTTGTCTGATCTGTAGATGGACGCCCGTGATTTACGATTTATGTTTTTTATTACTTCCCAGGGCGTCTCAGAGCAGGTCTAGACTTGACCAGTGAGGCCCTGACTCTTTTCAGCAGTGTTTGTGGGGTCCTGCACGAGGACGTTTCCATTTGTCTGCGCCTCCTAGGACGGCTCAGTTACATCTTAGGAGAGAATGATGACGTAAATATCGAATTCAGTTCCTTTCTTCCACAACGCGTTGCCTTATTATATCCAGCAATTCATGTTTTGTGTTTTGCCGTGTGTCGTTTCAGGCTCTCAACCTTCAGGAAAAAGCTGCTTTGAGTTCTGAGAGAATACACGGGATAGACCATCCACAGACCATACAAGACTATGTGTGTTCCTTTCTTTTCTCACTAATCTACTGTTTATGGATCTATTGTTCAATAATAAAAAAAAAAATCTAATTTCACAATCATTCGATTGTGCCACATATTAAATCAGCATCTTTCCTTTGGTTTAGACTCACCTGGCCCTGTACTGCTTTGCCGGAGGACGCCTTCCAACATCCCTTCAGTTGCTCTATCGTTCTCGATACCTCACCCTGCTTGTAATTGGAGAAGATCATCCACAAAATGCGCTTCTGAATGTAAGGAAAATAAATCATCTGTTCAAGTGGGACCGGGAGCATATTGTTATTGATCCATTTAGTGGGGACTTTGTTTGCTTTTACCGATATTTGCACGTTTGATATTTTTATGACAAAATAAACACCCTAATGTTAAATATTCATATTCAAAATTAGATTTTAAACAACAACGAGTTTTTAAATTCACTAGANATTTTAAACAACAACGAGTTTTTAAATTCACTAGAAATATACCTTATTGTTCTGTTGTTTAACTCCATGTTTTCTGCCTATCAGTATAGGTGAGATAAAGACATGCTGGTAATATGTTACTGGTGTAGCTTTTGTTCATTCATCTCTTTTTGCCAACAACTTTGGATGAGAAATAAGCCCCATTTACACTACCCTTTTGAAACCGTGCCGAGATTGGTCCGAGCACGGTAACCAAGATAACTGTTGAGTATAAATGGTATGCAGAACTGAACCAAACACGGCTAACATAGTACAAGCTCATCAGTAGGCTTCGGTGCGGTTCAGTTGTGGCTCGGGCAGAACGCATCATCTCTGTTATGATTTTACTTAAAGTTCAGACCCACATGCTGAAGACCAAACAGGGGGACCAGGAGAAAAGGTTTAACAGGTTTTCATTGAAGAGATAATGCAGAGAGAAGTGTTGCTATGAACACTGCTCAACCGGAACAGAAAAGTGAGGTGAAGACATAGAGATTAGTTCAGGCTCAGTGGGAAATTTGATCTGGTTGCTGACTCACATTTCCAGAGAAGTTGTTGAATCTTTGACTCCAGTCTGTATGCTGTTGTTCCAGTGTTTGTCTGATTCGGTGGAGGGCGGAACAGGGTTTACCCAGAATACGGTTGTTTGTAGGTGAACGGAGAAGCTGACTGCCACTCAGATTTCCTGCGGTACTTGAACGGGTCGTAGTGGAGACAAATCCCTTTCTCAGTGTGAAGCTCAAACTATTTCTTAGGGAAAGTCGGTCCAAACCTCCTGTTTGTAACCCCAGCTCAGTTTGAAGCGCAGTTGATCCTTCCAGGGAGAGAAGGTCCGAAAAATCCAGTTTGCAGGATGACTTCCTGCCGAGAAGCAAAGACAAAAACTATTTTGAAACTCAGGTTGACAAGAACTCAGTTTGACTCAACAAAACTCAGCTTGGCTAGAGTACCCAAAACTGGCGTCGAGATAGTGGCAGTCAGCAGCTTAAGAACACTCCATTAACGAGCAAACCATCAGCAGGTGTGTAAGGAGGTGGACCAGAACCAGGCGCCTCCTGGTGGAGGAAGGGAGACAAACACAGAAACACAAACACACAGACAGGAGTCCTGACAATCTCCTTCGTTCAGCCTCCGTAATCATGAAATTTCAGACATTCATAAAAATACTAGCTTCCCTACTGTGCCACACGATTTCCAGTGATGATTCTGCATAGCAGTGTGATGGACATCAACGTCTGTTTAGACCAGGGGTGCTCAAGTCCAGTCCTCAAGAGCTACTATCCTGCAACTTTTTGATGCACCCCATTTTTAACACACCTGAATCAAATGAGTGGCTCATTACCACACCTCTGCTGGGCTAAATGAGGGGATTGAGCCTTTGGATTCAGGTGTGTTAGAGAAGAGATGCATCTAAAAGTCACAGGACGGTACTGTAGCTCTTGAGGGCTGGACTTGAGCACCCCTGGTTTAGACTATCATTTGTTGTGTCCACTTTCTAAAAGCTGACTCTGTCAAGGAAATTCACCAAAGGCTGCCGTTTTCGCCTGACTCTATGCAAACAATGAAATGTCACAATTATAACCAAACATCCTGAATGTTACAGGTAGTGTAAATGGGCCAAATGGAAATATATACTAACTTTATTCTTGGTTATCAAT